GTATGTAGAATGTAATTACACCAAATTATTGATATGTTGTTTTTTTTACATTTGTACTAAAATACTTTGCTTTTTTCTTTCTTTGAAAAATTGTTGCCTTTTCCGCGCACTACTTTAAAGAAAGAAGTGTATTTATCGTAAAAGCATGGTTTTAAGAAAAAAGTAAAGTGGTAGTATCTGAATTTATTAATTTTCACCTACCCGTTTCATCCCGTATAGCCCAGACCAACAGATCCACACAGGCAGCATTAGCCATTACGTTCACCTTGTATTTATTCACAACTGGTATGCCATTCTCCTCACGCTTCTCCTTCTCCTGATCTTGCTGCTTGTTTGCCAGCTCTGTTTGGCCATTTAAGAACAGACGCTTCACAAACTCTTGAACATCTTTGGTGAACGGTGTAGGCAAGTCAATTTGATGCTGTAGCAGCTCACGTAGCAAAGTCACCAGCACAAGATTGAGTGTCTCTGAGAAGCTTTTATAACAATAACCCTTGATTTGATGTAATGCAAAGATATCGCTTGCTTGCTCGTCTAAATGCTCGAGAGTCTCTTTAGTTAGCAATTTTTTGGCCACTGCGAAGATGGTCTGCAAGTGTTGTATAGGGAAAGGTGGCACCGTTAGTGGTTTTTTAGTTTTCGTTGGTGTTTCACAGACGCGCATGTTAGGAAATTGATTGAAACTAGAGCCGGTCTTGGTGAAAAAGTGTGTACGTGGATCGTAGGGTACCGAGAAATATGTATGCAATTGTGGTCGTTGCTTATTCAAGCCGTTTATCATTTGCATTTGACGCATGCGCATCTCGTTCGAGTCTTGGCTCAGACTACCGGACATGGAGCGCGGTATGATAGGTCGAAATTGCGAGAAGCACGCAATGCGCTCGCTGGAGCTAAAGCTGCCTCCATCGCGGACATTTTGTTTGACTACTGGCATTTCTTCTCGTGGAAATATGCGACATAGCAATTGTGGGTCTTGGCTGGCATATCGGCCCATTGAACGCGCCAAACCAAAAAGTAATGGTACAGTGGCCTTGCACAGTATAATGGGTGGTGGCGCTGAGCTGCTGTCTTTGCTGGATTTAATGATGTTTGCCAAAGCACTCAGGGTCTCGACTTGATTTAGGATGATCTCTTCTCGTAAATCTGGACATTTCGAGGCGATGTCCGACAGCAAAGTATTCAAGCAGAAACTGAACTTTTCGGCGGATGGTATGCCTGTTGATGGCGTACAGTTTAGTTAAAACAGAATAAGCAAATTAAATAATTACCACATACGATCGATTTTGCTCCATTTTGCATCATCCACCCAAACAGCTTTGGGCAAGCACTTTGCCAGCCGCAACAGATACGGTACGATGCGCTCCTCATGCTGGCAGCGACTTTCCAAAAAATAAATACCCAACGCTATTACTGCGTCCTGTGCGCGTGCATCAAGGCAAAAAACGCCTGCAGCATTTTCTTGTGGGCAATAGCGGAAGAGTGATTGCACCTGTAATTATAGACATGCGTCAAGGGTGAAAAGTCGATTTTGCTCTTTCGAGTTGACCGTCAAAATCAATTGCTACCTTTTCCCATGGTGTTGGCTCTATGCGTGCCAAAACGCGTGCCAGGCTTTGTACGGTGCGCTGATAAGAAAATACGTCCGTCATCGCAACGCGCCCAAAACGAACAATTTCTAATTAAATTTTCACAACAATTCCACAATTTTAATTTTTCACTGGCAAAAAAAAGTCTCTCCAAATGTTGTTACATTACTCACTGGCACGGTGACCAGAATTTACGATAGCGTATAATTCAGAATATCATGTGCACAAAAAATCTAAAAAGTAAGGGGCGATTGGCGATTTTTGTTAATGCTAATATTTAATCTAATCTGAATACCTCAGGTAACAAAGCATGAATTTTAAGTTATATATTTTGAAATTTTTATTATCTTTGGTAACCCCAAGGAACGAACGCGAAGAAAACATGATAAAAATATGAAAATAAGTAAATGCGAATGAGGATAAAAACGTCAAAACAGCGATTGATAACGATTCATGAACGAAAGACACAAGATCACGCCTTATGCTTGAAATACAATACCGGCGAACGGCAAACTTCGCCGAAATGGGCGATGCTGTCGTTCACCGTTCGCCCAACTATTTCGCCTACTTAAACAGAATTAGAGCGGTAGCGAAAACAGCTGATCCCATTTGGTCGCCTTTATAATTTGGGTGACCATATTTAGAAAAAACTAAACCATATTTAGAAATGAGGAAATGATAACAAATATAAATGTAAAACAAAGAAAGATTATTATAAATAATTTGTTTCAAGCCAGATTTAACGAATCCACAACTATATTTTTTCAAACAACAAAAAAAAAATCGTGTTTAGGTTGTTTTCTTTTTAAACTTTGAAAGCACAAAACAAATACGGCCACCTTTGGCACGCACAGCTGTCATCGCCCAGCAGAGCGATAGAAATAAATCTATCGCCATGAAACGCCGCCAAGCGAACTTCGCATTTCGCTTTGGCTGTGTTCAATTTCATATGCTTGCGGGTGTTCTAATTTTGACAGCGCGAATTTCGCTGTGGTGAGTTCGCCGTTCGCCGGCATTGTATTTCAGCTATTAAGGAAAGAAAGAAAAAAGTTATTTTCTAGCTGTTGAAATCTCGACGCCATCTTTGTTGTAAGAAGTAAACAACGAAGAGAACAAAAAAAAACGCGTAATTGTTGAACGCATGAATAATCATTTTTATTATGCAAATTCTCCTATAAATCATGTCGTTGTGTTAAATTATTCTTTACCTTATGTGTGCACACGTTGTCACAAGCGAAAATTAAGAAAATTTCAGTAAAAAGCCACCACCAAATTGTAAACAACGAACAAATGTAAACAAACGGCTTATGTCAAAATCGCCCTACTTTTTTCATAAGTGCGATTATAACGGGCCACTCTTCTGCTGTCGTGATCTTGTCTTTTTGGTTCATGATAACGATTGTCACATGCCTCATAAGGGTTAATTCGCAACGAATGTGCCTCCAAAACATAATGTCAAAATTTCGCAAATTTCGAAATTGGAATGCACTACCGGAATTAATTGGAATGATCTACCGGAAGTAAAGGGTGATAGACATGGGTTCTCACTTGGCACTTCCGGCAGTGCATTTGGTCCCAATCCGATATTTGGAGCGTGTGTGAATCGGTAACAAAGTTCGCGACGAGTAAATTTTTGACAACTATGAGGTGAATAAAATTTCAGTAGCTCGTGAGGCTAGTGAAATTTTTGACAAATGCATAGAAAATTTAGACAATCGCAAAGATTGTTGATGTGTATAATTTTTCATTAAATAAAAGCTTAAATTGATGAATTGCAATCAACGATGGTAGATATTTTCTTAAAATATTAATTTCACTTCAATTTGTAATATTTTATTCCGCATAAATCTGCGGTTATCAAAAATTTACTGCTGTCAAAAAATATTTCATTTCACAAAGCAGATTGGCAAACAGTCTCACCATAGTAAAAATATTATTCAACAGCTTTCCCCATAGAACTTTGTTACCGATTCACACACGCCCATAGTTCCATATAATGCACAGGGTGCATCAATGGAAATATTTTTAGTAAACAAAAAATGACAAAACTGCACGCGATTTTTTAGCAACTTGAAATTTTCTCACTAAAATTAAAAAAGTTTTTTTCAAGAGATTTTATTTAAAATGTTTTCAGTTTAGGTAAAAAAAAGGTGAATATAATGCAAACATATTTTGAGAAAAAGTAAAAAAACGAAATAATGGCATTTTTTTGTATAAAAATGTATGTTTTTCGTAAAAAAATACGTAATTAACTATATTAACAAATATGTTGATTGGAAAGACCATAAAAATACCTTTAATTTGGCGTGTAGTTTTCTATAGTTAGGTTTAAGTACAACTGCCAGCAGTGCAATAAAACAATTGCATTAATATTATATGTTCTCAGCAAAAGGTGTTCAGCCCCTTTTATTTGGCAACACAGAAAGAAGAATTCTACGTAGTGAGGGTTATAATCCCTAAGCGCGGACGAAGGCTGCCTACGCAGAAAGGTGTTCTCTGCAAAAGTTGTTCAGCCCCTTTTATTTGGCAACACAGAAAGAAGAATTCTATGTAGTGAGGGTTATAATCCCTAAGTGTGGCCGAAGGCCGCCTACGCAGAAAGGAATTCTACGCAAAAATACTGTGGATAGCGTAGCTTGATTAATTATCCATTTAATTCTACAACTCAATCTTATAACACATAAGGTGATTAAAAAAATGGTTTGTATATATTTCTTTAGTATTTTTTTAATTTTAATTCAATTTTTGTAAAAACTAAAGAGAGTAAGATTTTCTATCGCGCGATTTTTTATTCCCAATTTTCGCCTGCGGCTCTTTTCCTTTTTCATATAAAACTATATTTTTATATATATTTAGTGAAATATCATGTCCACAAGAATATTTTGCTACAAGTCATATATCAAATTAACGGTATTTTTGTGCTCTTTCTGATAAACATATCTGTTAATATAGTTAATTACGTATTTTTTAAAGAAAAACATGCATTTTTATAAAAAAAATTGCCATAATTTCGTTTTTTACCTTTTCTCGCAATGTGTATACATGATATACACAGATATATATATCGAATGAAAGGCCCTTCAATCGCCTTTCCAACTGTGTCCATATTTATAAAATCGATGCAATAGTTTTCGAAGTATAAGCTTTTGAAAATGTTGAAAATTCCACGTTTAGCCCCCCTATCCCCGTCCCTGTCAATTTGCACCAAAATAAATATGCCATTAAAATTCGGAAAAGGGTGCGGGCCACGCCCACCTTTTTTTTCTAGCTCAAAGGTCAGTATTCTTTAGGTGTTCCAAAATTAAGAAACCTTAAACCAAAGCTGTTAAATTTCCATTACGATTAGTAATCATTAATCTTTTTTTTGCACTTTTTATTATAATGATTATTTAAATTTTCTTACATAACTCAGCAATTAATAATTAATTGTAATTAAAAATAATCAAAATAAATTAGTAGCTCTGATTCAATACTTTTCGTGTAAAATCCTGTAAAAATGTCAAACAGCAAAATTATATTTTATAGTGAGAGTAATAAGTGAGTAACAACCAAAAAGTACGGGACAAAAAGCATTTTTCCTGTAAAAACGCCTGCTGAAATCTTGCAACTTAATTCTCTACACAACTCTCCAAAAATCGCTCTCACTTACAGGATTTTGGAGTACGGGAGCATTTTTCCTGCAACTTCCCGCAAGTTCGTGTGAGAATCTGTAAGTTCATGCAGTACTGGATCAGAGCTAGTTATGACAACCAAATGGCCCCAGCAAGACCGACCTAACCACGATACAGCGAACAAAGGTGGCGCCGTCCGACGTACCGCTACTTTGGTTTTGCCGATTTTGGCAATTCTGGTCAAACGACGAGAAATTTTAAATGCACTGAATCTAACTAATTCTTGCACAAAAATCACAATTTTTGCATATTTTCCATTTAATTCTTATTGTAAATTATATATTTTTACAATTTAAATACGTTTACTATCGAAAAAGTGAAAAAAATTGCTCTTCTGACATTATCTTTTAACATCCAATTCGGCTTTGTTCACTTGTGGTACATAAATGTCATTGCCGCCAGGACGGCGGTATCTTGAACTAGTTTCGTTCCTTAACCTTTCTCATGAAGGAACGACACGTACTTTTCTGGACAAAACCTGTAAAACTGTTAGAAAGCAAAATTGCTATCAGAGAAAGAGAGAAAAACCAAAAAGTACGGGAAAGCTTTTCGGGTAAAATTGGTAAAACTGTGAAATACATCGTGGATGCCATTTTTTGTTTACATATCATTTTTTTTTATAATTTGGCGATTTGCTTAATTATACGCAAATACGCAAGCAAAATAACAAAAATACTTTCAAAACTTGATATTTCTTCGCTACTATACCTTTTACTGTGTGAAAATGCAGATGTACTTTTCTTTTTGGTTTTTGAACTTTCAATTGACATTTCATCAGATTTTCCAAGCAAAAATTCTTCGGATTAAAATTTTGTAGCTGCTGACAAAGAGAGGACCGATTTTACTCTCCCATCTTTTCCCCTACTTTGCCAGAGAACCGAGTACGGGAACGCCTTCTGGTACATTCCTATAAATTCTTGCAACTTTTTGCGAGTTATGGCTCAGTTATGCATACTTTTTCTTGCACATCTTCACTTGAGCAACGTTTCTCCAAAATAAGGTTTGCGCAATTTTATTGTGTAGTACCTTCCACAATATTGGCTCGGGTTGCGCAATGCTTTTGTGTGGTTTAGGGGCCCTATAACGGATCTTTGAAATTAATTTTTTTGAACCTCGAATCTAGTAAAGTTGATGCAGCTATTAAATAAGAATATTCGATGGATGGAATTTAGACCACTGCAGAATTAATCGGTTATTGAAACAA